AACTGCTTCCTGGTACTCATCCTACAACCATCTTCTTAATTTCTCCTCATTAATAGTTTATTATTTATACAACAACAATAGACAGAATATCAGCCTTTATCCTGGATCCTGGAGCCCCACTTACCACAGGGTGATAGGAAATGGGCACCTGACACATACCTATGCAGTGGGTTGCATTAGAGGAGAGGAAAGCTTAGTTTAAGGAACCTACATTTTCATAATGGACAGTAAAAATGCCTTCCCTTTGCTCTGGAAGGAGACATTTTTTATATTTCTGTAACCATTTTTGCTTTTTGCTCCAGAGGGAATCATTATTTCACAAAGATTTTTCTTAAAACATACTTTAAAATATAGTGGGAAACAAAGAACACTCAGTGCCTTGCTTGCAAAATGTACAGTAACACAAGACACCCATGCAAGATTATTTTCGAACAATGTAAAACAGAGAAATTGGTGGAAATATGCCATCTGACAAGTAATAATGACAAATTTCTCCATGACCAATAGCGTACAGGATCTCCTACTTGTTTACCTCGTTGCCAATACATATTTTTAAATTTCATATATGTTGCTAACTTGATACATATAAAACTCCATGTCATTTTGATTTCCATTTTCCTGATTACTGGTGAGATCTGTAAAGTCACGAAATATTTATTGAGCACCTACTAGGTACAAGGTACACTGCTAAGTATGTGGAATATATCAGAACATTAAGAGAAAGGATTTTCTTACAAAACTTACATTCTGGCAAGGGGAAAACAATAAACTCATTAACTAAGTAAATTATATATCATGTTAGAGGATGACATATGTGATGAAAAAGGTAAAGTGGCAGGGAGCAGATAGATTAAGGCAATATATACATATATGTGCGTGTGTGTGTGTGTGTGTGTGTGTGTGTGTGTGTGTGTATTTTAAAGGGTCTCACTCTGTTGCCTGCACTGGCATCATCATAGCTCACCAGAACCTCAAACACCTGGGCTCAAGTGATCCTTCTGCCTCAGCCTTTCAAGTCCCTTGGATGACAGGTGCATACCATCACACCCAGCTAAATTTTCTATTTTTTTTAAAAGACAGGGTCTTGCTCTTGCTTTTCTAGTATTTTTACTGACCATGAGGTCCCATATTTTGTGAATTGCTTGTTCTGATTTTGTGTCCAATTTCTACAGGCCATTATTTGTCTTAAAATGAATTCTTATTTATTTCATTCATTTTGATCATTCACATTTGTAGACAAGTATTATTACATTTTTCCCAACTTTGTATAAGGCAAAACTGGAATTAGAGAATTACATATTATGCTATCATCAAATTTATCAAAATTTACTTCAATAACTGTGCATTTTGTGCCTTTATATAAAATATTTCCTATTTCCAGAAGACAAAGTATAAACATACTCCCTCATTTTAAAGGTTTTATAAATGTTTCCAAGTTTAGATATTAATTTTCTGTTCCACATGGATTTTAATTTGTTTACAAAATGTGGTAAAGAAATTTATTATTTAACCTATGGATAACCATTTAACCCAGAACCATTTATTGAATAAAATGTTTTTTTCTATAACTCATTTAAACTGTCCTCTCTATCAAGATTCAAATATCCCATGTGTAAACCTCTTTGTAGGTAACTCTTCTGATCCATTGGTATCTTGGATGTTGCTTCCAATTTTGGAAATCATAAAGACTATCTTCCAGAGGTGCCAGAGTGATCATGGCAAAATATAAGACAAATGATGTCACTCCTCTGCTATGAATACAAGATTGGCTAACCATCACATTCAGTGCAAAAGTCAAATTCTGTTCTAGAACATACCTACAGGGCTCTAAGCTATCTGCTTCTCCTCCATCCCCATTACCTCTCTGAAATC